ACTGTGAAGATGGTGAGACACTGGCCCAGGTTGCCCAGAGAAGCTGTGGCTGCCTCATCCCTGAAGGGGTTCAAGGCCAGGCTGGATGGGGCTTTGAGCAACCTGGTCTGGTGGGAGGTGTCCCTGCCCATGGCAGGGGGGTTGGAACTTGATGATCTTTAATGTCCCTTCCAACTTGAACCATTCCATGATTCTATGAAAAATTGTAAATAATAGACAGATGGCAGAATCACTGGGAAGGTATTCATAATTTCTACAAAAATACATTTCTGCTTACCTATACTGGAAATGTTGAAGCCAAAGCTCTAGCATCCCACCCTCTACATCTTAAACCAGTTCAAGAAGTAGTGATCCATTCTGTTCAAAGACGCTCCTAGCTGGGCAAAGTTTGGAATTCCCAGTATGGCTTGTTTCTGTCATTTACAAATGAAAAAATCTTTTCAAACCTTCCTCGCTTCTGTCATGCTGAATAGTCTGGCTGTCACTCTTGGCCTGGATTACATTGTTGAAAGCAAATCTGTGTCACTGACCTTACCAGTAAGGTTGAGTATGCCACAGGATGTCATCCCAGGGGACATCATTTAGAAGTTCTCTGTGAGAGTTGTTCTCACTGACACGCTGGCTATGAGGTAGAGATGATAAATTGTCAGAATTAATGAATGTTGAAATATGTTCCAAGAGACGTTTTGTACCGAGGGCTGCAAAGAGGGTTAACAGATAGGCAAGCCAATTAATGCTACTGCATGTGTGTAATACACAAAAAAAATTGTTTCAGAAAGGAGATGGAATGTGTTTGGCTTCCCATTTGGAAAGATCATTTCCAGCATCTGGCAACTCCAGTGAAAGATTCTGAAAAGTCAGCTGTAACAAAAAGCTGGCCATTAGTGTACCCAGGTAAATAAACTTCTAGGAACATAACCTAAAGTATCTATTTTAGGTTTATAAGTTTCTCTTTCATATTAAATCAGATAATCACTTTGCGAAATAGGAGCTTTCTTGAGGGTATTCCATGAGTAAGACAATTTGGGGTAGGTGGAGTCTTATCAATTAATATTAATTATGAATATTTATTAATAATTATCAGTGAATGTTTCTACTGTAAAAAATACAGCAGTGTTGTATTCTCAGTAGGAGTGGGAGAAACTTAAGAAATGGTAACTTCTGCCTTTACCACACTGCTTTTCATTCTCCCCTATTCTCTTATTGTTATAATTACTAGTAACTTCAGAGAAGAACTTTATTTCTTTAAAGTTTTGAATGAGAAAATTTTGGAACAGTGAGTATACTGAATGCAAATGAATCGGCATTAAAGTCTGAAGTAGAATTTGGAGAGAGAAGAGAACATTAAGACCTTCAGCTGTGGCAATGCAGAGAAGCGATTAAGAGGTATCATAAAACAAAATCAGGTCTAAATTGTATAAGGTCTCGAAGAAGATGAAGTTCTTATATCTAATGCACTGTGGAAGAGGGCATCACTACCTGTACTCTTCATTGACATGTAACAGAAGAAATGGGAGATGAGGAAGACAATTTTAGCCACTATGATTTGAATAGATTAAAGAGCTAAAATTAGCTCTTGGACTAAAGGAAAAGTTGCAGTAATCAAGAGAAAAGTTAATCTGCCACTCATGTAACTAGCAATAGTTTATGGAACTAAATATCTCAGGCATTTTTTTAGCATTTAAAATCAAAGCTTTTACTGCACCTTATCTTTAAGGACATTTATTCACTGCTGTTACCTCACATGATTCTTGGGGCTATTGGAGAAAGGCATTCCTGCTAGTCAACATATAATTGATTCACTTTATGTTTATATTGTAAGGGGGACATAAGCACCAGCAAAAGTAGGACTTGCCAGAGTTAATGTCACTGCAGAGCAAACGTATAAAATCAGAATATTTCCGTATGACAGAATGACTGTGATTACAGTGCATGTTAATCTACAAGTGCCAGCTTGATTTCTCTCACATAAGTACCGTAACTATCAACGAAGAGATCAGCTTAAGTTTCTGTTAAGGACCCTGGCACAAAGGTGCTTAATCAATATAAAGACCTCCCTACTGTATTCATGTTGTCTCTTTATCACAGAATTGTAGGTGTTGGAAGGGACCTCTGGAGATGATCTAATCCAACCCCCTGACAAAACAGGGATGCCCAGAGCAGGCTGGACAAGAACGTGTCCAGTTGGATTTTTAATATCTCCAAAGAAGGAGACTCCACCACCTCTCTGGGCAGCCCATTCCAGGGCTCTGCCACCCTCAAAGTAAAGCTCACATAACTTCGCTACATTTTTTTTTTCAAATTATACTGAAGTTCAGTACATTTTACTGAAAGACGTTCATTTCAGCCAAAGGATCACTGACTGGAGTCACAGCCCTTTTGTATCGCTGATGCAGTAAGGTCACTGTGGTAACACACTGACCTGCAGGGCCTGAAAGACACTGGCAAAAGGAATTACTCTTCTAATATATGTGTCCTGAGCTTTGTGCCCGTGTCTAGCCCCTCCTTAGAGTGTGGCTGAAAAGGGCCTGAGTAAAAGGTCTGTTTTTCTAAATCCCTCAGACCAAGGTAACGCTGCTGCCTAGCACCAGTTTTAACCCAGTTACAAAATGAACAAAATATTTGTAGCTAATGCATTTACAATCACTCCAACAAAGTCTTTGTGTTCAGCACGTCACAAATATGAAAATATGTTTCTTCCTTTCTAAGATGTTTTCTTGTACTTAATAAAGGTTAAATGTATCCATAAAATCATATCCCACTGTTTAAAGGCACAGCGAGCTGAATTGTTCTTTCTTACATTCTGAAAAGGATTTGTGTTTTGAAGAGGCAGTTGGAGCAATAATTGCAGTTGGCTTCCTAACATCTTCACATTTAACTGCCTTAACTTAGAAAAGGCTGAAGTTTGATACCAGCTGATAGAATGTAAGTAAAAGTGCATTATAGATTGCTTTTACTGCAGTTTTCTTCAAGTTAAGCTTTTCTTGCTTTTACTGCAGTTTTCTTCAAGTTAAGGCATTTTTTTTGGATAGTACATTTGGAACCTGAGATATGATGCAATTTCAGCATTTTACTGGCACCATGACACCAACGTGGATGAAAAAACTGTGCTTTCAAATAGAGAACCATGTGAAACCATGTCTATGTCAAACCATGCTTTGACATAGACAAAGTCTTTCTACAGTGTGTCTCAAGCAACTAATGCAGCTTTATAATGCTGTCTGTAAAGCCTCTTTGCTTGTGAACATAGCCATGCCAATCAGAGATCACATCATTTACCCCTATTAACTTCCTAAAGCTATGAACAGACACCTCTGCAGGTGCTGAGGTAGCAGTAGGAGTTACCTGTCCCCTTTTTCACCCCTTTTCACATCTCAGCTGGCGAAGCATTTCTGTCTAATCCGCATTCAGAGGAAACCAGTCAAATTTCTTAAATGATAGAGAAAAACACACCTGCCTGCGTATAACAGTGATTCCCAGAGAATCTGCTGCCATCAGGTTAACAACTCAGCTCAAACAGCACGTGTGTGTGGGTCTCAGCCAGCTTGTCTCAGAAGTTGTCCTGAAACATCTGCAACTCAGTTGGATGTCGTGGACTCCAGCACAGAGAACTAGGTCCATCAGCACAGCTAGATCAAAAAGACAATACCTGTCCTTACCCTCAAGCCAGCTATTTACATTTCTTGTGCTCACCTGGGTGATTTTGCTTGAAGAGGCTGAGGGATCAGTTGAGGGAAACGACTCTGCTGGAGGTTACTGCCCTCCCAGTTCTGCTGGCAAAAAGGTAACGATGAGCAGCTGGAGGGCATAACTGTGACAGGGCTCTTCCACCTGCATGCCAATTGTAGCCTGATGTCTGTCTACAATCTGTTTGACTGACAGAACTGTGGTAGCTTTAGCTTGTAATATAGACCTAGGTTAATTAAAATTGCTTTCTAAGTTGCTCTGTATATAAATCCTTAAATTTCTATGATTGAATCTGCATTTTTATTTTCCTGTATTTTCTGGGTGCATATTCCTTTATATCAGTTTAGATTGTTAATGAATAACATAGTATGATTTATTGCAACATGAAAAGTTTAGATAAAAGCATATAATGTTGTGATTCTTCTACTAAACTTGATGTTCCTCGGTTGCTGTAGGACTTTGATCTTGCCAACAGCATGAAGACAAGGAAGAGACAAAAAGAAAGCGAAGGGGAAGATGAAGTTGTCAGTGCAAGATCTGTGCAGCTTTACTCCAAGAAAGCGACTACAATATCTGTTCTTATATAAACTGGTTGAAAACTGGGCCCAGTAGATAAAACATATCTAAGTATCAAGGACTAACCAGTAATCAGTTGCTTGTTTAAGATATCTTTGTCAAGATGGCATGTAGTTTGTGATTTCACAGTATAGCTGAGTGATCTGTGCCCAGTTATGTGATCAAAAGTTCATCTCAGCACACACAGGAGGATGGAGGAGCATTGATATTTGTGAAAACCCAAATAATACCCTCATTAAGCTGTTCCCAGGCCCATCCCTGGGGAGCAAGAAACCTGTAAAAGGTCCATCTTCACAAATATGAAGGAGCGAGGAAGAAGAACAACATGTGGAAGAAACCCAGTAAGCCAGTCAGAGACGTTGACACCCTGCATTTGCCCTTCCTGGGCCATCTCAGGGGACACCAAGTCCCAGTGGCCACCTACGACGCTCATTAGATAATTTGATAGGAGCAGGTCTCTGGTTCACTTTTTGGACTGAGGAGGGTTTCTGCCCACAGGGGTGTGAGACCTGTGATTGGATGCAGGAGAAGCACGTTTGGGGACGGCGTATGAAGTCTTTGAGAGTTAGATATGCTAAAAGTCATTCATCTACACAAGTTGTATGCATGCTATTTTGAATGTATGCCTTGATTTTTGGGGAGGATATGTAATTTCCTTTTTGCATAAAATGTTTTTCCTTACATACATATTTTAATATAATGTTTCTTGCACAGCGTGTTCTTGGTGAAGCTACAGAAGTTGCTAAAGCATCATGTGTCACTTTCCTGAAGAAGTAGGCCTAGACATGAGAGATTTTAGTGGCAGTAATAAGATGCTCCCAGCACGTGTCATAAAGATTGATAGTGGAGAAGGGACTGACATACGAGATAGGGATGGTATCACCTGAAGTACTACCAGCTTTACTGACACTAGAAGACACCCTCTCCCCCCCCCAAGATATGAAATTGCAACAGCTTTACTGCCACTGGAAGAACTTCTGTGTTCAGAAGTATCATCACCACAAATGGCAGTGCTACAGGAAATGAAGGTACATCTGAAATCATGAAATCAGATTTAAGTAGTTTTCCCGGATTCTTGATATTCTTGATCCAAGTCCAACTCCCCTTGGCCTGTAACCAAACAAGATGAAATCTAATTAGGCATTGTGCATATGTGTCTGAGAGAGCATAGTAATATCTCTATTAAGATGAAATATTAAATTATAAATATAAATTTTAAAGACTGAAATTTTCCCTTGAACAGGGGGAAAATATATATTTGTTTCAATAAGCATTACAATTCCTATATCACTCTTAAAGTAATCAAACAGCTGGTTGAGACTTTTTAATTGTGGGCAATAATTGTATTATTTTAAAGTCAATTATAATGTTAAAACATTTTAACTTTGCTTAGAGATGGATACGTAACTATGATTTTGTTATGTTGTTTTAGTTTGTCTGTTTAAGGACCAGCTTTGTACAGGAAACCAAACCTTGAAATATTTAAATGTGATTAAATTGATTTAATATATGTTAGTCCCACCTGTATGTCATTTCTGATGTACATCTGCCACACACAAAATTAAAAGATAAGTAACATGATTACAATCAGATTAGTGAGTCTACGCAGGTAAATGAGATTGCAAATCTATGTGAGTGAAAACTGCACTTCCTAGTGAGACCACTTTGCATCACATTAGCTTAAAATTTATTTTCAACATCCATATAAGACACTGACTGGAAAATCCAACCTATGTAACAATAATGTACAAGTCCAGAGAACATTCCCTCAGTTGGGACACAGACTACTAGCTGTTTCCTGATGGAACTTTTCACCTGGTATTTAGTTAAAAACTGAATCAGTCACGTAGATTAACCATTGATCAAATTAGAAGGCTATCAGGGGACAGAAAATTTTTGTTTTCACTGTGTTTGGGCACCAGGGATAAACAGAAGGATCAACATTTTACTGAAGAAATACCATGTATATGCTCAAATAAAATTACATGGGCTCAAAAAACGTATGCATGGGGGTAAGTAAAATAAGGGACAGTAAAGTCTATATTAAAAAAGATTCTTTCCCATGGAAAAAATTCCATAAGCCAAAGGTGTGGGTTAAGTTTGAAGTCCTGGGGAAGAGATTGCTTTGAACCCCAGAGAACTTGCTTTTCCAGAATGGACTTCTGATTGGTTTCAATTTTTACTCCGAATCTTTCATCCATCTCTATATGTAACAATTTTAGACGTCACGGTTCAATTTAAATTATATGTTGTATAAAATGAGTGTAGTTGTGCTGCATTGCAACAGAATTTTGACACTAGAAATAAAAAAAACACAGCTGGACACAGCCAGAAATTCTGACAAAAAAAATTCCTAGAGATTTCAAACTAGAGTTCAACTGAATTAAATTCTAAGTTTTGCTAAGGAGCAGCAAAAAATGAATTCTATTTAAGTTTGGCATTTATCACCCACTGCTTTGATCCCATAAAAATCCCCTGAATTTTAACTTGATAAAGCTTTTTCCAGGATAAGTTGTTTTCATTAGAGTTTATTATTAATGTAATGAAAAAATGATGCTTTAAAATGATGGCATTTAAAAATGGATTCTTCATCACTCCAAATCTTTATATCAATATTCCTGTCTTTGGAAAGATATGATCCAGCTCATCTAATATTGCAGATTTGACAGAGAAATTATCATGGAAGATATTTTTCCTGAGGATCTTCAGGAAGCCACCCTACTTCCTTGCTTTAAGTTGTGAATTTTAGAGTACTCACTGAATTTCATTGGAGTGATCAAATCATCAAATCTCCAGATTGTGTTGTTCTACCTAAAAGAAACATATTACTTTTTTTTTTTTCTTAAGTGCTTCTCAGTTGGGAAAAAATTATATTCACTACTTTTTCAGATGGTTTTACAAATTCTACATAGAGTGAGCATTTTAAAGCCATTAAACCCATAAAAGGCCCAGAAGTGACCACCATTATAGGCTTAAATGGCTTTATTTATTATGTTTTCATCTTTCTTAGTTCAAGAGAATAATTAATTTTAGGTTTGAATGAGCATCACTGTGTACTGTCACTTTATTAGCAGGCATTTTATTATTACTTTCACGTTATATTATTATTTCCCTCCAAAGCATTCAAATTTATCCAAAACCAAGGACGAGCAATATCATATAGCTGTTTCAAAAGCAAATTGATTCACACAAAAGAGATTTTTTTTTAGTTTATTAATACGTAAGGAAGTTATAGAGAGTAGCTCTGCCTTTCATATATTCCCATAAAACTAGAGAAACAAGAGAAAGATGAGGCAAAATGTGTTCTGCTGCTTTTAGAAATCTCATTGTAAGAGTCTCTGTGTCATTAAGGTTATTGATCAGAACAGTTTGAATGTTTTATAGGAGATATCAGTTTTATGAAAGTGGCATAAAAGAGAAGGCCTACAAAGGACATAGTCCTTGCAAACATCAAGAAAGAGTGAATGCAAAAATCTCATAGCTGTTAAACTTAAAGGGAGGCTATAGATCTTCAAACATTATTTTTATGTAGATATTATAAAGCTAGAACAAGTTAGATGGCTATATTCTTTTATTTGTATGGATTTTATGAGTAAATCCTGGAGCTATTCAAGTATTACATTAAGTTTTTGGCAGAGAACATATAGAAACATATCAGTGTCTCTAAAATCAATATCATCCTAAAATAGCTTCAGATGGGGTTAGGGATATGGCTTTCTAAAGGGCTCTTCTAATGGCAAAAAAAATTAATATTTGTCATATCTAGTTTAACAAGACTGTCTCTCAAGTGCTTTAACATCAGGTTTACACACTTGAAAATGTACATTGTGACACAAAGAGCGTTTCATTTTACTGTGTTCCAAGGAACAGAGTCTTCATATCATGTTCTCCCACTTCACAATGGTAAGAGAATAGCAGTTTGAATAAACAAATGAAACATAGTGTGAAAAGAGTCCACTGCTATATTAGCTAAAAGTTCAGGATGGTAGTTTCACCTCAGGGTCATATAAGCATAATTTATTTGCAGCAAACCTTTTTATATTTAAAGTTTATAATTAATAAGGGCACAAAAGCAAGTCAATCCAGTCTAGGGAGTGTAATGTAAAGGATCTGCTTTGTGAATTGGTGGCATTTTTTAACAAGGGATAAGGAAATATTTGTTGTAAAATCAGAAGGTGGGATAATGACAAAAAATAGTCTAGGGCAACATTTCAGGCAGAAGATCTTCATCTTCAGATGTGGAAATGGTGGGGAAAACCTAAAAAGCATTATAAGCCTGGTTAATAAATGAAAAAAAAAATATGAGGAGGAACAAGAGGTATGCTGGGAAAAATTACTACAATTTCAAAAACTTGAGTGTATTATTTTAGTTTAAATTAAAGGAGATGTCTGCTACCTTCCTACATTGTGTATATATGGCAATGACAAACTCCTCTTGTGTTTCTAATCCCATAGTACTTTATTCTGAATTCTTAGATGCTAGAGCATAGGAATTAAGAGCAAGTGTTGTAGATACCCTGTCAAATGCAATAATTCTGCATTGTAATTTACAGAGTTTAAAGGCTTACAAACAATTTAAGACTACATTATTAGAAAATTACCATCAATATTATAAGAACCACTTACCTAAACAAAAGGATATGCGTCAAGGTTAAATGAGAAAATGTCTCTTGTACAGGTGTGAAAGCTTAGGGCAGCTCCTATAGGGGAGGTAGAATTTAAATTGGACACAGACACCTACCTGAAAAAAAACATTGAAGTTACTGGGTTGCAACATGATGTGCAAGTACTGGAATAGAGAGTGTCAGATGGACTTTATAGCTTGATGACAAATTGCCAGTAGCCTCTCAGAAAGAAAGTAGAGGCAGCAAAGTTTAAAGGAAGTTTTGCAGAATTTCTAGGAGAGAGCAGTAGAAGACTGTGAACATTTAAGATTAGAGGGCATTAAAAGAAAGGAAATAAGGCACTAAGAGTAGTACCACCTTCAGAAGCTCCAGAAACATTTGGAAATAATAGTAGTAGGGAAACTGCAGCAAGAAAGGATAGCTTCAAAGACTTGATGAAGTTCTTAAGTTTAGTTGTGAATATCTTAGTTCTTTTCATAAACACACTAGATCACAGATTCAGACTTTTTGATTTTCAAGTGGCAGCTATCCTTAGGTTTTTTCATTATTTTATTAAATATTATATATGTGGAATCACAGTAGGTGGTTGTGTTTCGATGAATTTATTCCAATGTGGAATCACATTAGGTGGTTGTGTTTCGATGAATTTATTCCAACCAGCTCCCTTTTAAGCTTGCAAGAGCTTGTCTCTACGCAAAAGCAGAACTAGAATGAAAAGATGTCTATATCTTTTCTGAGACTCACTGCTAAAGAGAGTCTCCTGTGCTACTACATCCAGTTCCATATTAACTGTATTATACCTGCTGCTTTTTTTAAATTTTTTTTTCAGAATTTGATAAAGATCTGTCTTAAAACTGACTTGCTTTTGGGCTTCTCTTAATCCTTAGATAAGGCTGACGTAGAGCTGGGATGTTTTTACTTGCTTGGTTTTAGTTGCCAGTCTATTACCTTTATTTCTAGAAGTCATTTTCTTCACAGGCCCTTGGGATTCTGCAGTTTACCTCTTACGAGCCCAGCTGCGTTACACTCAGTGCTTTTGGTAAAGCTTCTTAAAAATTTTTGCTGCTCACAAATTACTTCTACCCTTGTGCTATCTGGAGTAAGATTCATCAGAAAAAAAAATATATTTAAAGAATAAATGAATAGTATAAGTGAATAAGTATACCTGACTAGTTTGTATACAGCCAGTTGAAATAATTTTTAACTCTACTTTCATTAGGTATTGTAGTCTCTATGACTCATACTATTGTTGTCTCAATATCCTCATCATTTATGTGCTTAAATAACTAAATCTTGCATTGTAATGGTTTTAAGAAATTAGATTCCTGTTTCTGAACAAAAATACATTACCTCCGTTTTTACACCTACAGTGCATTTCTCACCAAAGAAAACACAGAGCCAGAATCAATTTCTTCCCATTCACAGCAGTCATGTTAAAATTCGGTATTCTGCAGGAAAGAATGAAAAATACTTTGTGTTAGAGGAGGAACCGCTGGTTCACCAGCAGGTGAAACCAAACAAATTCAACTTTTTGGTTTGAAGTAAGAAGTATACAAATTCAATTCTGTATTGCTCAAATAAGAAAAGTATCTCACTTTACTAAGCTGTGAACTATAACGCAAAAGAACAAACCAAGATCTAATCATATAGCCTGCCTGACTGTAGACTGGAGATGATACCTGGTTGATACCTAAGTAGTGTATTAAAAAAAGGCAAGCTTATATGATGCTCAGATGATACCTGGTCGATACCTAAGAAGTATTAAAAAAAGGCAAGCTTATATGATGCTTCCTAGATAGTGTCCTCACCTTTTGTATTCTGAGAATTCTGCTAAAGTCACTACTGAAAGAATAGCATGTAACGTGATTCATTTTGAGACCAAACCTAAACTTCTTAAGACTGTCCACAAATTTACATGAAACAGTCATTGCAGAAAATATAGAACAGTTAATGGAACAGGGAGAAGAATGAAGATCTTTATTCTTCTTGATAAGTGTGCTAATAAAACGGAAAGAACTGTTTCCTCTGTATTTTATTTCTGGCACAAATAACTTAATTGGATCATGTTTCATAACAGAATCCAGAAGCCACACAGCTTTAACTGGAAGGTTAAAGAATGTTCCTCTAACCTCAGAGTACTCTATAGCCAGGGGGCTAGAATGTTGCAAGATACTGAGCTGAATGTCACCAGGCTGAAACTTTCCTGGATGAGGGCTTTGACCATATATAGTGAAACAAGTGAAGCCACTTGCAAAAAGCATTGGTCCTTTAAGAAACATGTCATAGAATCACAGAATCATAGAATCATAGAATGGTTCGAGTTGGAAGGGATCATAAAGATCATGCAGTTCCAACTCCCCTGCCCTGGGCAGGGACACCTCCCACCAGACCAGGTTTCTCCAAGCCCCAACGAGCCTGACCTCCAGAGATGGGGCAGCCACAACTTCTCTGGGCAACCTGTTTGCAAAAAGCATTGGTCCTTTAAGAAACATGTCATAGAATCACAGAATCATAGAATCATAGAATGGTTCAAGTTGGAAGGGACCATAAAGATCATCAAGTTCCAACTCCCCTGCCCTGGGCAGGGACACCTCCCACTAGACCAGGTTGCTCCAAGCCCCATTGAGCCTGACCTCCAGGGATGGGGCAGCCACAACTTCTCTGGGCAACCTGTTCCAGTGTCTCACCACCCTCACAGGAAGAAATTTCTTCCTCATATCTAATCTAAATCTCTCCTCTTTCAATTTGAAACCATTACACCTCATCCTATCACTCCAGTCTCTGATAAAAGCATTGCTCCTTTAAGAAACATGTCATAGAATCACAGAATCATAGAATCATAGAATGGTTCAAGTTGGAAGGGACCATAAAGATCATCAAGTTCCAACTCCCCTGCCCTGGGCAGGGACACCTCCCACTAGACCAGGTTGCTCCAAGCCCCATTGAGCCTGACCTCCAGGGATGGGGCAGCCACAACTTCTCTGGGCAACCTGTTCCAGTGTCTCACCACCCTCACAGGAAGAAATTTCTTCCTCATATCTAATCTAAATCTCTCCTCTTTCAATTTGAAACCATTACACCTCATCCTATCACTCCAGTCTCTGATAGAGATTCCCTCCCCATCTCTCCTGTACCCGGAGTCTTCTCCTCTCCAGGCTGAACAACCCCAACTTTCTCAGCCTGTCCTCACCACAGAGGTGTTCCAGCCCTCTGACATTCTTCATGGCCCTCTGCTGGTCCCATTCCAGGAGGTCCATGTCCTTCCTGTGCTGAGGATCCCAGAGATGGACACAGTACTCCAGGTGTGATATCACCAGTGACGAGTAGAGCGGTTCGTAGTTAGAGAAGGCTAAAGTGTATCTTCAAGTGAAGTGTCTGTATGGTCAGATTCAAAGCTTGTCTCTGCTGTGAGTTGTTTCATACCATTTAGATACGCCCTGAGATCCCCCAGAATGACCTCAGCCTTCACTGAGAATTAGTGAAGAATGACTTCACTAGAATTACTTCACCAGTCAGCAGAGAAAGAGCAGCGCTTCCAGAAAGTGGTTCACCCTATTCTAAGATCGATCTCTAAAACATGTGGGATAAAAAACTTTTTTTGGTGGTGCTTATTTCTCTACTATGTGTCTTGGTAAAAAGCTTCATTTTTTATATACCATCTAACGTTAGATGAAAAGAATCCGCCTTGGGAGTGCAAGGTTTAAGCATCTTCTTACTTATTGAGATAATGATTTTGGATCCAGTTCTGAGGCTCTTAACAGTTTCTCTGAAATATTTAAACCTAACTACTAGTCACAGAGTACTGACTTCCATTCTGTGGAACAAACTCCTAGAATTTGGGGCCTAAATCCTTTGAGATTTTTGTTTTAGCCTAGAATTATATTGTATTTGATAAGAGACAGTAAACTTTCCTGACTCTGAATGTTACCCTCAGTTGCTGTCAATCTACTCACAATCAATATTAAATTTACCTTCATTCAAAAGATGTCTTTGTGCTGCTCTTTCTTTTGTCTGAAACCTTTATTAGGTCAGGAACTTTTACTGCTTTCAGTTTGATTAGTTTTCTTCTAGTAAATTTTCCCATTATTTCAAAGTATTTTTAAAGCAACCATGGTCTATTATCATTATTTCACCTGAGTTCCTGTATGTCATGGGCAAAAGTCCTTAACCTAATTGTTTATGGGTTTTACTCTTATCTTGTGTTTGAACCAAAACCCACCTGCATTTTTTTTGTTCAAGGATTTGGTTAAAATTCCTCAGATAATAGAAACTGATGGCTTGGCATGAACATTAATTTATGATTGTTGTCTTTATGTTGTATTATACAAAGTACTTTTGAATATCTCCTAGGAGATATATCTGATATTTCAGAAAATTAAAAATTCAGGTAATATTCCACACTTGCAATAATTCTAATTTCACATAGTTAAAGTTTAAATAAGGACTCTTCCTACTCATACTCCCAGGTGTAGATTCAATCCTTTCACAGGCTTATTTATAACATTTAAGACAGTACATTGATTACATAGAAAAGACTTGGGGTGGTGGATTTTCTATTCCTTTATATTCTTAATCAATGGAGTATTTTCTTAATTTAGGATTAATTTGAGTATCCTTGCTTGCAAAGCAACAATAATTGTACATGTATCATCTCCGAATTAGTCCTCTGAAGTCAGGGATTATTCATTGGGCTATTCTGTGTGCATAAAAGTATAGGAATTTGGCTCTCAGATTCTAACTGATGATATTAGATTTACTACAGAAAGTTGCCTTCATTCAAATCAAGCTTCAAAAATGGACCAAACAGCACTGGGCAGAATATGACTTAGCCTTTTTCTAACTGAGCTATGACAGAAGAAATAAACCTCACTGAGTCCACATTATGTGCATAATTTTCTTCCTGACTGTCAGGAAAGTGATAGCATTAAGGACACCATAACTCTCCAGCCAGAATTATGAGTTAATAATCCTCTTCCAAGTGTAATGAGCTAAAAGGACATTATGAATTCCTGAATTCATGCTTGATTTGTTTTTTCTTTATGTTCATGAAGTTAGGAAACGTAGAAAATGTGGTAAAGTGGTAGACACGAGCAAAACAGCTTAAATATTCTCCTGAGAGAAAGTCCTCTTTCTGGTACAGCTGGCAAGGAAAAGAACAGCTGAGATCTACGATGTAGCAGAGATGATGTGATTGCCACAAATCTTCAGACCACAACTGTTCCACATTTCTCTACGAACCCTCCTGTCAATGAGCTAAATTTTTATTCAGCTCTCAACTACCACAGCCCAAATAATTTGAGGGAAGGCTGCGTATGTGTGAATAAAACTGGTGGTTTAGAGCTTCAGCTGCCAAGGAAGCATCTTCATACACGTTTTTTGTTTTATATTTTGTCGAGTGTACATTTATGAAGAAGGACAGAATCTCTTTGTGCACGCAGGATTTATATATAGCTTTGTTCTTTCAGCTAGGCTGGTCAAAACTAGTCAGTGAACATTCAAAGGAAGCCTTGTAATA